TATATATATATATACTTATTTTATAATTTAATTGATAGCAGCATCAAATAAAAATGATAAATACCTGTAGCTGTCAGGAGTTGCCAATAGCCATAATATAGCGAGTAATTGTTTTTTCGGCTCTATCGTTTGACATCCGCTTATTCGAGCACTATGTAATTCAGGTGCAATGGTGTTATACAACCATTCGAATGCTTGTACAGATACACGAAAATGACTTTGGAATTCCATATTTGTACTGTTTGTAATCGTACGATCAACAAACATTTCCACTCGGTTAGGTTTATTTTTTTCTTTTTTAAGCTTTCTGAGCAAATCAGATAATTGCCTTTCCAAAAATTCGTTGTTTTCTTCGTCGTCAGAATCCTCATCGTCATTAAATAAACATGAATACAATGTTACACACCTAGTATCGCTTCGATAACAGGATCCACCTCGATAATATTCATTGTGCCTTTTTGCTTTGCTTAATATTTTTTTTTATTTATACAAAGTGCGCACATGGAGTTTATTAAAAGATGGGTTAGGAATGTTAGGATAAACATCAACAAGCGATATTTTCGAACATTTGAGGCGTCTGCGCATGCGGGGTGTTTTTTGTCGCACTTTTTACTAGAGCGAAAAGTTGACGCGCGGGCGATTTGTCCAAAGCTAATCTGAACGCTGTTGGGTGATTGGTCTGAGTGAGTCGACCTGCTAAACGGAACGACTTTGAGTGAAATATAGTCGTTCGAGCGTTCATTCTGAACGCACCCCAGCGCTCGGAAGGAGCGCACCGCCTGATTCACCACACTTAAGAAGTCGGCCGAGCTCGGAAACCGATGGTTTGGTCACCGGCGGGCTGGACAGTAGCACGCGCATGTGGGTCGCCATCAGGACTCTCCGATTGTCATAGCGACGCGAGCTCTTCCCATGCCAATGCGTAGCCCCGCTTCGAAATCTCGATGTTTGCGATAGCCGCCGCCGCCTCTCCAGTAAGGCTGGCCTTGAGGTACTGGAGCTTCTGCGTCGGAGCGAGTCCCTCCACATCGTGAACTAGGGAGACGAAGAGGTCCCGAAAGCCCTCCCATGCCAGCTAATCGCCATTGAACGTGGGCAAGCTGATTTTCGGCAGCTGTATCTGCCTTAAAACGGCACTTGTTTCGCCCTTGCCTGACGGGGTCGGAGAAGGCGACACCGCCAGATGGGCGGTGATGCGAGACTTCACGCTCACGTAGTGCTCCTCCGTGGCCTGGAAGACGTCGTTCTTCATATACTCCGTGCCTTCCATGCCTTCATATCCCAGGACGGCATCGTGCCCTTCCATGAATTTTCTCCAGTAAGACTCCAATAGCTCCAGCCGCGTCGTTAGGCGTGGGTCATTTTCTCCTTCTCGACCTTTACGAGGTTGTCCCAGAAGCGCTCAATGTATCCGGCAGAGATGATTTGTTTTTTAATAGCGACGTCCATCGTGGAGTGCTATTAGATTCGACCGCCGCGTGTATGCAATCGACCGTCGCAAGAGGACGAAGCGAGAGGCGCGGGCACGAAGCGTGGAGCGCGCAGCGTGCAGCGCGATTCTCCAATTCTTGATAGCACCGGCGTACGTGGAGCAGCAGACGTGAAGCACCGAAACGCGGGCAGCCGATCCGGGTACCACACAGATCCACTCGAAATGATTCGCACCGGTGTACTATTCACTTGCACTATCTGGCATCGACACTTACGACTCGTATCGGTTCCGCGCTCGTATCCGGCTCGAAGAACCAAAAATGTGGGCTTCTCGCCGTGCGGAAGTCGCGCGGTTGGAGGAGACCCGAAAGGATGAGAGCGTGAAACACGGACACGACACGAATGCAAATGAATAAACCGACGATTAGGCAGCACCACTTTTATTAATTTAAGAGAGCTTGTAACGCATACAATGAAAGTGAACAATCGCGAAGGCGCGCGCGAGGATTCCGTCCCGATCTGCACAGAGACTTCGCGGAGATACGACAAGAGTCTCGGAAGCCTGCTTGATCGAGAGTGCTCTAATCGAAAAAAGAAAACGGAAAAAAGGCGCCGAGTCCGCTCTCCCCCGCGCCAGACTGCTCGATCCCGGTCGCGGGGGGAGAGCCTCGGTCCAAGTATTTTACCAAATATGGTAATTTTCGCTCGTGTCTTAGCGTAGTTTTGTAGCTTCCTCTCCCGTTGCCGAGGCCGAAACGTCGGTGACACGCTTCGGCCCCGAGCAACGGTGGTAATGGGGGAAGCTACGTTCGACTCTGAACATTTAACAAAATAATTTTATGTACATATGCACTTGAGAACAGAAATGCATATAGCCGTTTGAATTTGTAGAGCTATGAATTTGAGTTTGAATTTGTATCGGAGCCATTCGAAACGACAACACGAGTGTCTCTTTTTAAAGAATATGCGTGCATCGTAAGAATAATTACCGCTTCTCAAGTAACCATCAGTCATAATGCATCAATATTTAGAAAAAAAACGTCTTCAATATATATGTCCCGATACCCATATAAGTTTAGATAGACAAGGCGCATTTTGGAATATCTAATTTAACTATATCGATCTTTACTACATCTTTACTACATCAGATATTTATTTTTTATTATACAATCTAAAAAACTTGTTCATTTGTCGCCATTTAGTGATTATTTTGATGTTGTTTCTATAATTGTTCTATAATTTTATATACATATATAGATAATTTGGATCAAAATGAGAGCGACACGTTCTTATTAAGCCTTCTTCGAATCCTCTTGATATTTGTATGTATCTTCTAACAATCTAATAAGAAGCTTGTTAATCTAATAAAAACCGACACTGAAATACGTATAATACATATATTGTTAAATAGAGTAAAGTTGCAGATAAAACGTAAACATTTCAACTCTAGTTATGGGCCAGTCAGTACAAAAATTAAAAAGAATATATATAAATATAAAAGTCGCAAAATTTACTGATATATAGGTGACATCCCACTCACTACTAAAAAAAAACGTACATTGATTCTTTTAATTCATATTATCCGAAACTGAAATTTATACGATTGAGGTAGAAGGTAACAAATTAAATTTTTTCGATGTCACCCTGCTTAAGAAAGATAATTACCTTATTCATAATTGGTATCAAAAATCTACGTTTTGTCGTGCTATCTTAACTTTTTTCATGTCACCTGTTGTGCCAAAAATTAAGTACAATTTTCGGTGATATGAACAACTGATAGAGATTTTTTAACGCTCCCTATGTTTCACCATGAGAGTTTTGAATTTATTATTAACATTCTGCTTAATAACGGTTATCCTTTTGATTTAATTTTTAATAGTATCAGAAACAAATTATTTTCTAAATTTACACAATTCATAATATTATAATAATTGTCTAACTCTACTAAGACTATAGCTCCATTATTGACTGACATTAAAAAGACCAAGAATGAAAATTCTGTTTTCTTTTTTTATTGTTTTCGTCATACCTTGGTCAAGCTGGCAGATATGGCATACTGGAAATTAAAGAACATAAAATTAAGGAACATAAGAACTACATTAACCGAAACACTATCATAATTACTGAACACAGAATTAATACCACATATAGCTTTGATTGGAACAACGTATTAATATTAGACAACAAGATTAAATAAAAGACTTGTCTTTGAAATGATTTATATAAATAAACAAAAACATGGCTTAAATTTACAAAATGACACCGAACTGTGGATTCTTTGTATAATGATTTTTCTGTTGTGTCTTAGTGTTTCCATTTTTAATAATAATAATAATAATTGAAAAAAATATTTAGCTACATTCCTTTCTTGTTCCATATTTACAGATTGTTTGTTATTTATAGATTGTTCACTATTTACAGGTTGCCCGCTATTTATAGAGTGTTTTTCTTGTGCATATTGTACAAGTTCTTTATACGTTGGTAAAAAAAACTTTGTTCTGAAAGAATATAAATAAAAGTTATTAAAATATATTAGACATCAAAGCTTATCAAGGATAAAACCACTATAGTGAAATAAGGCCTATAACGTGCGCAGTTTGCGTATGGCTAGATATTGTGAAAAATTATTACACACGGAGAAAATTTTATATTAAGTTTTAATACAATTTTGAATTATATTTTACTGTTTTTTGTATTATCGGTGGACCATCATGACTTTATAGATTATATTACAACACAACTCAGTAAAATTTAAAACTAACTTCACCTTAATAATTTTTTAATATTTGACATAGTAAAAATTCGTAAGTCAAAGTTATAATTTTTATTGTGAAGCTGTAATCTTTATTGAACGTATAATTGATTATGTATTATCTATTATTGGTTAGCTTGAAAGAATTCCGCCAAGATTCATAAAAATTGCAAATCGATTACTTTTCACAATCAAACAACATAAAGTTCAAAATCGGGATACAAGACATCTCTAAGACGTCTTTTATAGATACTGTTACGTCCGGCGTTGTTCGATTATCCGAGGGTTCGAACGTGTAATGCTCACGCGGTCCCAAATAAAGTCGTGTATAACCCGCAAGAAAAAGCGGCTAGTCAACGAGATAATATCACGTCTGGTGGGCCGCGGTGAGGGTCCACCAGAATGAGGATGCTAGGGAGCACGTCTCTACGAGAGCGGCCGTAGATAGTCTCGACAAAATCCTTGAAGTTGGTAAGAGTGACCTTGACAAAGGTCGCAGTCGGCGGCCTGACGGTGCGAGAATAAAAGTACCTTGCAGGATGTGCACGTAGCCCTCGACTCAAGATAGATCGTGTAATCGACCGAGCACGAGTGCCGTACAGTGAACCGCAATGCTCCCCTAGTAGTCCGACACCTCACGCACAGTCTTGTTGCCCCGGATTGGTCGATGTATCCGTAGATAGTCAGACACGCGGCTTGACTTATCCAATTTGACAAAGCGATGGCCGGATGTAACTGCGGCCTGCGTTTTCTTACAGTACGGCACATGAAGCCGGCACCTGAAAGAGGCCGGAGTATGGTCCGTGAGAGAGAGGGAGAGAGAAAGAAATAAGGAAACTTTTCAAGAGTTATCATTTTTTCTTCTTTTTTTTCTGTTTATTCCGACAAATCTATAACCTCGATAGGGCCAGTCGCGGGTGCCCTTGGGCGGCGCGCTTACACTCTCATGGGAGCGGGCTTGGTCTGTTTTCGCAGTGCGAGCTGCGAGTTTGGGGTGACCACTGCGACTGGTCGTGTCGCGGGTTCCTTAGGGGGCGATCGGACGCGAGATGGGTTGTCGGTTGGTCGGCGAGGGTGGGCTACCCGGATCCTCGCGGAAGGTGTTTCCCTTAAGGTTCGGACTAACCGGCGCTTCAGGGGGAATGTTTCATTCGACGGTTTCTGGCCCCGTGGTCTGGGCGGATTGACGGGGATATTGTCGAAGACCCGAGGATCAAACTGGCGGGGCTTGAATAATTCTTTTGCTAGCTTTCTTAGCTGGCATGC